AAAGAGTATGACGAAGCGTCTCGTGGAGCTGGTTTTGGCAATCTCCAGCCATTTTGTCGATTCTGTCCTTGATGGTGTTATCCGAGAGTGGGACACTTTTAACTTTGTCCACCGCTTGTGGGCCACACATCCTCTCCACAATTTTTATGCATGCTGGCTTGATGAGCTGCACTCCGATATTGTGCGGCTTTTTTGCCTTAGCAATTAATAGCGCGCATTCAAAAGACGCCTCAGTGGCTCTGTGTAAGTCGCCCCCTACTCTCTCACAAACTTTTCTGATGTCACCTGATCTTCTTGATAGTGCAAGCTGCTTTTTCTTCTCAAAATATTCCCGAGCTTCACCAATAGTTCCATGGTGTCTGGTCTCCTAATGTCGTTTCAGTTTGCTCGGCTTCATGCTGTCATTAGCTAACTTCTCACCACAGATGACACATTCTGGTCTGGATTTGTCCGGTCCCTCCATAAAACCAAAGTCCAAGTAGCAATCGATGTATTGCCTTTTCTTTTTTGACCCCGTTGATGAGTCATCTGCACTTTTACGTTTTTGAGCCATATTTAGAAATTTGAAGTTAAGATGAAGTTAAGGCAGCCGTCTTCGCTACCGGCAAACTGAAGCTGACTGCTGTTGCTAGGATACCGTAAACTTCCTTTTAGACGGTTGTCAAATAAAGGTCTCGCAAGATCGTGTTTTATAATAAGAGCAACAATAACAATTAGGTAAGTAAGTAAGTAAGTAAATCTTACTAAAATGTAACCTAATGAAAATTGCATGAGAAGAAAATATAAAACGGCAAACATATCACTGAGAGCAGGTACACAACCGAGTGCCGCTAGCATAGCCAGTCAAGAAGTTCAGAGGTCAAAGACGTGCTGGTCATAAATAGCCAAAAATTATTCAACCTTGGACCAAAATATTTAATATAATTTATAATTATTGTAAAATTGATTTGGGTGTACAGATTCACAACCATAATTTTCATCACCTCAAATATGGCGGCATTTAAATGTCAAATGTTGTGACCGTGTAAGACATTCTCACGAGCACATTATATTATTTCACACGCGCAAAAATTAACCTTCCCCCGCGCAGATACAGTATTCGCGCACAAATTCAACAACCGAGAGTTGCACAAGTTTCTGCGAGCGAGCGCCTGGTATGTTCTCAAAGGATAACTCTGCTTGCACAGTGGAATTCTGCTCGCGGGCAGTGTTCTTCTGCTCATGGAACGCTGTTTTGCTCGCGCAGCTGATTTCTGCTCGCTCAGCTGATTTCTGCTCGCTCAGCTGATTTCTTCTTTTGACAATTTGGGGGCGGAAACCAAGGGGGCACTGACCCTCTTATGATTGGTCACTTTCGTCGTGATTACAACCACAGGGACATCCTTGTACATTGATTGACAGCTCCCATTACAGGAAGCACGGAGTTGGGTTAACTTACCACTGAAGAAGAGTGGGGTAAGTAAATAATTTACAATGAGATTTCTAATATACATAAAATGTCTCTGACTGTGTATAAAATGCTGCGCAGCTCATAGTTAAATCAATCTAATTGATTGGGGGCGCTCGCTCGCAGAAACTTGTGCAACTCTCGGTTGTTGAATTTGTGCGCGAGTACTGTGTTTGCGCGTGGGAAGGTTAATTTTTGCGCGTGTGAACATTTGACATAAAAATGACGCCATATCAAAGCTCTGCGGCCCCCCTGTGATCTCTGGCGCCCCCCCTAGGGGGGCGCGGACCCCAGGTTGGGAATCACTGATTTAGTGCATTACCTTACAACTAGCGTTTTTTATTTAATTTTTATTTATTTTTATTTTATTTTTATTTCATTATTTTTATAACGATTAACCCCTCCCTTTGCATATCGTGACCATTAAGCTCTCTATAGAGACATGCATGTATGTCTACATACGTAAGTTAAAGGCTGTCAGGATGTCGCTTGCAGATGACGTCATCACTCCAGGAGTGCCCTCAGGTCCGCCTCTGTCAGTTCGGGCCGTCTCTTTTTGCCCCCGTGTCCGGTCCCCTTTACCTTCTGGGTCATCAAATGTTGAATTCTCTCCAGTCTGTCCTCCTTCACCGTGATACCCATCTCCTTCAGCATAGGCGCCGCTTCCTCCACTGTGCTGAACGTCTTTGTTCCGGTGTCCAAAAACACTTTCAGTTGGGCCGGATAGGGAGACTGCGCCTTCACATTCCTCTCCTTCAGTTGTTTGATGACTTCCCTGACCTGTTTTCTTTTCTTTTGGACCTCCGTTGTGTAGTCTTGGTTGAAATAAACAGACTGCCCTTCATAGCAGTTTCCAGGCTTGCTTTATCACTTGTTCCTTCATCTTATAATCCAAGAAGCGTACTATGATCGCTCTCGGGGGGACCGTGCTGTCCTTTGGTTTGTTCACCAGTGAGCGGTGTGCTCTTTCAATACCCAAGTCCATCCCTTCTGTGGTTTGAATCTGGGATTTAATAAATTGTGCTATGAAGCTAATGGTGTCGTTTTTCTCTGCACCCTCGGGAATGCCATGAATTCTTATGTTGTTGCGCCTCATTCTCGACTCCAAGTCATTGCATTTTTCTGATAGTATAGTCGTTTCCCGTAGCAGAAATGTCGCCGCCCGCTTCATCCGTGTCATCTTGTCTTCATTATTTCCCAATCTTTCCTCCATGTGAGCCACCTTCTGCTCCAGGGACGTTGTCCTGACCATGAGCTCTCCAATGCTCACCTCAAGTCTAGCCAGTGCTCTCTTGTTGTCTGCTACCGCTTCCGCATGTTCTTTTCGCAGCCCCCTTAGCTCATGAAGTATGGCCGAGTCACGGTCATCGTTCGGCGGATCCGAATGCTCCGCATCCTGGCTCTGCACTTTCGCCATTCCGGTACTCTTTTCTTTTGCGCCTTTCTCTTCCGTGTTCTTCCCTATCTTAACCATATTTTCCATGGATGTTCTATAGCACTTTAGGAGCGGGTTTTCTTTGAATTCCACTGTTTTAACCTTATTTTAACGCTAGTTTTCCTCAGAGCAGTCTTTTCTCCTGTTTTATACAGCATGGCGCCACCGGAAGTCTGTCGGGTATGTCATTTTCAAGCAGGAACTCCCAAAAAATCACCATCAATCCATCACTCAACAATGCTGTGTTAATGGGATAAAGGGGTGTAATTATATAAAATATTAATTCAAACTGGGGCTGCACGGTGGTGCAGTTGGTAGCACTGTTGCCTTGCAGCTAGAAGGTCCCGGGTTTGATTCCTGGCCTGGGGACTTTCTGCATGGAGTTTGCATGTTCTCCCCGTGCATGCGTGGGTTCTCACCGGGTACTCCGGCTTCCTCCCACAGTCCAAAGGCATGCCTGTTAGGTTCATTGGTCACTCAAAATTGCCCTTAGGTGAATGAGTGTGTGTATGGTTGTTTGTGTGTTGCCCTGTGATGGACTGGCGACCTGTCCAGGGTGTACCCCGCCTCTCGCCCATAGACTGCTGGAGATAGGCACCAGCTCCCCCGTGACCCACTATGGAATAAACGGTAGAAAATGACTGACTGACTGAATTCAAACTGAGAAGATTTGGGTTTTGTGTGTAGCAGAGATGTGCGCCGTGACAGTAAGCTTTCTCTTTTAACCATGTAATTGTTTTACTTTGTTTTAAATTGTATGTATTTATATGAGACATTATCTTTACAGGTCCTTCAACACTGATGAAGAAGAGCAGCAAAACAAAGTGTGACAAACCTGCAGCAAAAGGTGATTATATTCTTGATAAACATTTATCTCCTGTAGTCTTTTTTCTTTAACATTTTGATTGTTGCAGTGCCTTTTTTTGTGTATTTAGGTTTATATGAAAATGCAAAAAATATTCCATGATTAGCACTTGGCAAAATGCTGTGCACATTTGAAGGGCTTACTGAAGAATTATATCCCTTTGTCCATCATGTTTCCTGCTAAATGTATTTGCCTGTATTTTACTAATCATTCGTGAATTGTCTCAAGTGGAACTGTGGGGTAAAACATTTTATTATTTGACTGCGACAGATCATAAAGGAAAGAAATTATCAGGGTTGGCAGATTTTTGCTATTATAATGTGCTGTAAAAGTTTTGTGCAAACAAAAGGAAAAAAGTAGACACTGTTTTGTTTAATGGTTTGTACTAGGTAACAGTCTAATCACTGATATTTTCAGACAAAATTGCTACTTAGATACAATTTTATAAAGGTTTAATAACAACATTTGTATTAT